TAGTTGACCCATTAAATAATTTTGAAAATGATTAAATAATAATAATAATTATTATTATTATTAGAACAAACAAAGCTCAAGAGCCTAATGCCCCAAGGTTCCAATCAAATACCTTTTAATATAATGCGTGAGGTGTAACTCGGACCCCGACCTTCCATATAAATTTCACACTGTTCACCAATTGGGCACTTCATTTAAATTAATTATTTTTTTCACATATTATATTTATTGTATAAATATCTAACAGATTTGAGGAAGAAGTAGTGGTGGAGTATTTGATGTGGATGCGGTGGTGGTAATTTGGAAGTGGTGATGGCACTGTGGTGGTTGATGGCGATCAAAAAAATTAGTGCTGAAAAAGGCATCTGTGAATCATTTGGTGGTGGTGGATGCAAATTTGAGGTGCAGTTGGTGATGTTAGGTTGGACGTCGTCGTGGTGGTGGTGGAGGATTTGATGTAAAGGTGGTAATGCGGGTGGTGGTGGGAATGGGAGCAATGGTGGTGGTGTGATGTTGTGTTGGGAGTAGGTGCGGGCACGGCGCGGAATGGGTAGGATAAAGAGTTGTTGTGATCAACTATTAGGTAATTATGACCAATAAAGCGAATTAATTGAGACTAATAAATAATATTTGACCTAAAAATGTGTGATTTTTTGTTAAATTTGTAATTATAACCTACAATTTGTGTTTTCATGATTGATAAATAAATAGTGATCAAATAATTTGATAATTTGTGACCGTAAAATAAATTGTAACTGATAAAATTTGTGATTTATAATAAAGAAAAAAGTTTTGACCAATTAATGTGATAAATTGTGATCGAGAAATAACCGATGATCAATTTGTGACCATGAAATAAGTTGTGACTTATAAAATTTGTTATTTGTTATGGAGATATAAGTCGTAACCAATTAATTTAATAAATCGTGATCGATAAATAAAAGGTCAAAACTAGACAAATATTTGGTTACAGCTTCCAAGTCGCTGGTCACATATCATTGGTCGCTAGTCACATTATGCATTGATAATAGGTCACAAATAGTTACAATTAACACAAAATTGGTCAAAAAATCATTGTTCACAAATTAGATCACAAAATATTGTTAACACGGACATAGTCACATACAGTCATAGTCAAGACGACGAGGATCATATATTGTCAAAGTTAAGACATATGAGATCATAGACAATCACATTTAAGAAGGACCTGGTCATAAACAAACACATTTTAGAAATACTTAGTCACATACAATCAAAGTTACGATAAATCTAGTTACAAATAAGACGGATATGAATACAAACAATAACAACTTACACATACTTGGTTACAAAACATTCAATATTATAACAGATCTAGACATATATGATCACAATTAAGACATACATGGTCACAAACAATTACAATCAACACAAATCTGATCACAAACAATAAAAAGCTTACACAATCTTGTTCACAGAGAATACCAGTATGCATAGACCTGATCACTAGTTACTGGTAAACTAAGCATAGTCACATACAACACAGATAACACATTCAATATGTCATAGTAATGTTGTGATTTTATTGAATACATAAACTTATTCACAACACGTGAATTTAAAATGACGATAGATATACTCAAAGATTGATTTCATCGGGTCATGTTCAATGCATTACATGTCACAAACACTAAAACTAGAGAGGGTTGTGAGTTAATACTTAATAGTGACTCTCTCTGACACTTAAGAGGCGCGTACAATTCCAAGAACTAGCTTTTTCTAACAATGAAAGGCACCTTAAAAATAACAAGAACACCACTTGTAGAGTGTTTAGAGGGCTGTAAGTGTAGTGCATTTCTAAAAATAATTTAACAAAAAGTGTATGGCAAGAGAGTACGTGGAGAAAGAATATTTAACAAAAAAGGAATATATACGAGGGAAAAATATATACTTACATTTACCCTAAATTTCCATTTCAGTAATATATATAATATTGTAATTATAATTTAAAACCTGATTTGTGAATTTTTTTCACAAGTTCGTTAAATTTGAATTTGTATTTTTATAGTATTGTATTTATGCATTTATCCCAACTAAAAATCTTTTTCATTATATGATCCAACGTCCAATAATGCATGCAAACCAAGTTGGGGCAATTCCATGTATCAGATTGAAAAGAAGATGGCATATTACACCAACTTCAAGCAATGTCCCTATACCCAGTACAGTTGCATCAATAAAACCAAAAAATGACTACAATAATCAACACACATGACGAACAAACACGAGCAGCAAATTATTCTGAAGAAGAATCCATATACATGGTGCCAAAGGGCAGTATAAAACCGAAAGCACCCACGCCTAAACTTTCACCTAATGTCCTGAGAATCTCCTCCTAGTAAAGCATATTACATCACTTCATAAAACCTACTGATTGAATCCACCGCAAATATCATTTTTGAAACTGAGTAACAGGCTGCAGAACACAGAATCAAAAGAGAGAGCCGTTAAATATTGAAAACTAAGACNAGAGAGCCGTTAAATATTGAAAACTAAGACCACATTTTGCCATACCCACAGCTACCCAACACCTTGATTCATACTTTAAGCCATCTTCTTGTCTTTCAATGGTCCTCGGCGTATTTTGCTCAGAACTTTTGCATCAACAACTGCATACTGCTTGTTAATCTGAGTCATTGCTTTCTCCGCAAATGCATCGATCTTGTCGTCGTACTTTTCATACAGAACAGGTATTGTATACAGCAGAACAAACACTGTACCATTGATATCAAATTCATCATGTCAGCATGAAATGTTAGCGAAGAAGAAACTAGGTTACCCATTCAAAGACAGAGAAATTACTTACATATATAGAACAATGTCAAGAAGTTGCACCAGCTGCCCACAATTGAGAGAACCCACAAGCCAGCCACAACCTGATAAACAAAATTGTATCTCTTCAATATCAAGAATTAAAAGAATCAACACAATTTGACTTCAACATAATGGTATAGCAAGATCGAGAAAATGGAATCAGCTAAAACTCGCCTATCACAAATTTTCACTAAATTAACAACGAACTTGGAGTAATCGAGTAAAACACTATTTAAATATATTTAGGTTGATAAAACTAAGTCAAAAAATTGAAAATTGGATGAAGCAATAAGGCTAGATTTGAAATCAAGATTAGAATTTGAGCGAAAACTTCAAGGGAAAAAACATCCAATTTCTAAATTTGTACAGATCAATATTGTAACACAATGCAATCAACACACAATAAAAATCCATAAGCATTAAAATCAAAGAAAGTAGTTAGGAGAAAAAATTGTAAAAATGGGAATTGAGGTAGAACTAAGGGGTCAACAAAAAATGGAACAGATTACGATGCAGTTGTAGCTATTGGTTGGACATACAAGAATCAAAACAACTACGCCAGATTTAGGACCATGTAAACATTCCACCAAGTCAATATCGTTTATGGGTAGATCCAGACTTCCGATAATGAAAGATGTATGCGGCAGAACACAGCTATCTAGAAACAAAATGGTAGACATGTGATCTAATACTGGGAGAGTTCTTCACTACAGAAATAGCTAGTTAAGAATTTGCAACGTCCTCACTACATGTTTAATTGCCACATCCTATGACGACTTGAGGATAAAAAATTATGATTTTCAAAAGCAGAAAAATTTTAATCAGCAAGAACTTACCACGAGGAACTTCTTGAGATCCCTGCCAGATGCAATTTCCCTCAACAAAGAGAGGGCATGATTGATCTCAATCCTAACGGCTGAAGCAACCTGAAGAAATGGATCCTCTGGAAGGTGGACTTCTGGGATATGTGGAGGACGCCTGCAAACAGAGTCAGGCATACATAATAAGCAACGCACAATGTCGAATAAACAATTAATTTTAGATTCAAATACTAAGGTAAACCCACTTGTTTATAAAGGTTGTTACATTGGACCACAAGAACAAGACTGTGATGGCTAGTATTGAAATGTGGCAGACCAGGGTAAGCAAATGGTATTGGAGTAATTCAAAAAGGACCCAGGCAGCAGTTGCCCCACCAAGTACTGCAGCAGATATTTTCTTGTTCCTCCACAAGATGAGGTCAGCAGCTACATCAAAGTCACATTATGTTCAAAGATTAATGAAATTCACCTTCTATCATCATTACTATCCTTTTCGACATAATTTTTTTCCGGTAAAGACTCAAATTCTAAACAAAAAGATAAACTTCACCGACAGCAAAAGTTAGTCTGCACATTTTCTCTCCCACTAGTTTCAGGAATTATTTCATCAAACAAATATCATCCACAATATCTACAAACAACGCAGATCGAATCTAAGAGCCATAGACACGAATCAAATTACAAAATTGAATTTATCAGACGTCTCCATTTCATTCAAAGATAAAGAATTTACAATTTTGCTAATTTAATGAATCATAAAACATCCTAAAATCCTAAGAACACACTTCATGGGAAACCGCCTAACTCTCTACTAGAGCAATAAAATACTTTAGTTACCAAAAAAGAAAACTTAAAATACTTAAAAGATATAAATTCACGAAACATTTTCTTCCAGAAGCAAACTTAATTAAACAATTCCATCCGCATAGCTAATCACCATAACCCATCAATTCGCCCATAAACATATTAAACAGTTCTCCCCTAGAAAATTTTCTACAAAATTACGCATATAAAAAAAGATCTACATACGGTGCGAATGCCTGTACTTTCTAATAGCAGGGTTAGCAAGTTAGAACATACGTTTGCCTCCACCGAAAACCTTGTGGACAGGTTTTTCCCGGCCGAACAACCGGTAAATCTTAGCCTTTACAGACGACGGAGTCGCCGACTTCTTCTCGGAATCGGAGTCCGACGACGACGATGAATCGTCGCTACCGTGAATCTTCTCCACTATCTTGTCTAACAGTGATTCCCCCTTCGGATCCGAATTCTCTACCTGCTCAGCCATTCTCAAATCTATTCAAATTCCAGAGTACGAAAACCTAAAATCAAAATCTTCTAAAGCTCCAAGCAATGGAGTGTTCTCTCTCTGTGTAGCATCAAAAGTGTGGGTGATGGCTTTATGTATTGAGTCAGAGCCTGAGGTTTGGAGTTTGCTTAGGAAGATTTTCACTATAAGTCACCCTATTTTTGTTGAATTTTCATTTTAGTCATTCAACCTTTTTCTGCTTAAAATATAGGGTAATTAGCAAAAATGGTCCGTATCGTTTATGTTCATTGCTAAAATAGTCTCTATCGTTTTAAATTTGATATTTATACCCATATTTCAAACCTTTGTTGCGGAATTGGTCATTTCTTTCCACTTCCGTTAAAGGAGGCAAAATGGTTTTGAATTTTTCTTATTTTTGTCTCAATTTTATGGGATTATTACGGGATATTAAACGAAATCGAAATATTATATTTTTAATACTATTTCGAAGTGCTCACAACCCAGTTTCCTCAATTCCTAATGGCGTGCGAAACGGCCAACCATAGCTAAAGTTATCACTCGTCGAATTAGGTCGGTCCAAAATATATAAACGATAATTCTTATTTTTGTCTCAATTTTGAGGGATTATTACGGGATATCAAACGAATTTGAAATATTACATTCTTATTATCATTTCAAAGTACTCATGACCTAATTTTTCACATCTCTAACGACGTGCGACATGGTCAACCGTAGCGAAAGTTACCACTCGTTGAAATAAGCCGTTCCAAAAATTGAGACAAAAATGTTTTTTTCTTATTTTTGGAACAGCCTACTTTGACAGTGATAACTTTCCCTACGGTTGGTCGTTTCGCAAGCCGTTAGGGATGGGAGAAATTAAGTCATGAGCACTTAGAAATGTATGAAGAATGCAATATTTCGACTTCGTTCTGATATCCCTTAATAATCTCACAAAATTGAAACAAAAATAAGAAAAATCATTTATATATTTTGGAACAACTTACTTCGACAAGTTGTAACTTTTGTTACGGCTGGCCGTTTCACACGCCGTTAAGGATGTGGGAAACTAAGTCGTGAGCACTTCGAAATGGTATTAAGAATGTAGTATTTCGACTTCGTTTGACATCTCGTAATAATCCTGCAAAATTGAGACAAAAATAAGAAAAATCGTTAATATAATTTGGAACTGCCTACTCCGATTATTAGTAACTTTCGCTACGATTAGTCGTTTCGCACGCCGTTAGAGATGTAGGAAACTAGGATGTGAGTACTTCGAAATGGTATTGAGAATGGAATATTTCAACTTCGTTTGACATCCCGTAATAATCCCTTTAAATTGAGACAAAAATAAGAAAAATTCAAAATCATTTTACCTCATTTAACGGAAGATTTAACTGAAGTGGATGGAAATGACCAATTCCGCAAGAAAAGTTTGAAATAAGGGTATAATATTAAATTTAAAACGATAGCGACTATTTTAGCAATGAATGTAAACGATAGGGACCATTTCTGCTAATTACCCTAAAATATATAATTCAAGTTTTAATTGTGCATTTATAATTAGTAATTACATTGTGAAAATTAAATTCTCATACGTTACATGAGGATTCTTGCATTATTGCTTTATTTTTTTATTGTTATAAATACAAAAAACGTAATGACAGATAAAATACTTTAATTCTACACCTAACCATATCATGTCTTGTTAGCATTCATAATGAATTGATGATTGACGGTAAAATCGAATTCAACATAATTAATGGCCTGTTTGGGAGATATTTAAATTTTTCTACAGTAAATCAATTCTCATTTTCAATCACACATTCTTCAATAAAATAATATTTTGCATCACATCAATAATTTTTTCTTCTTTTTCAACCACACATTTCCCATCATATCACTATTCAAAATCAATTCTTCTCCCAAAAATCCCTCCCAAACAAGCTCTATATATAGATGTTTTGGGAACAACCAAAAGCCTAAATGATTTAATGAGCATCGTCCACCAATGAATTTATATATGGCTTGTTTGGGAGAGATTTAAATTTTTCTACAGTAAATCAATTCTCATTTTCAACCACACATTCTTCAATAAAATAATATTTTGCATCACATCAATAATTTTTTCTTCTTTTTCAACCACACATTTCCCATCATATCACTATTTAAAATCAATTCTTCTCCCAAAAATCCCTCCCAAACAAGCTCTAAATATGTTAGCCAGGTGAGGAAAACGTCAATTTTGTGATAAAATCATTATTGCGGCCAAATCGGAACTTCCGTGATAAGTTCTTTACTAAAAACATATAGTGGTTAAAATGGAATGTATCTCAAAGTTGGGTGACCTCTATAGCATAATTTATCCATATCGACATTTCCTCAAAAGTATAGTTTATCTAGACATGACGGCGTTATGGAGACGTAAAACTGCAATAAAGGGATCGACCGACATATCGGCGTTAGATATGACGGTGAGACTTATTTTGAAATTTGAAACAGTGTAATGCGGTGAATGTATTCTTTATGCTTTATGT